ACCCGAAAGTAGCTTTAAAAATGTAATTGACAAAACCCCCCACCCCCCCCCCTTAAGATGGAGATCATGTGCTGGTCCCGAGTCCCAACCATTCCTTAAGACTCAGAAGTGGAAAACCTGCTGGCCGCTAGCCAAGCAAAACCCTGATATGAACGTCTCCGCTTGTGTGAAACTACATTGCCTTCAGGAGGTTCAATGTACCCCACAAATCATCACAAATCCCGTGAGTTTGCAATGTCGACTTCATCTCAACTGACATCACAAGACAGCCCAGCCCACATGCCAAGCACCCAAAACCACCAAAGCCAAGGTATGCAGCGCTGATGCGCGAGAGTGACTTCGCACTGGCACCTGCTGGTGCCTTTCTCAGATGAGGGCTTGGTGCAAGATCCCCCCGCAGCGACAGCCAAGGGCAGGGTGCCGACCATGACCATTCCCAACAGGTGCGTTTGACCATATATTTTGTCCATTAGGGAAGGCAGGAAGAACTCAGTCGCGAGTTTTTTTGTGCCGGAACTTGGAGAGGTGGGCTGCCCAAGCTTGGGCTTTATCCAAACGTTTGTGCTCTGGCAGGCTGACAGGGTCCTCAGATGAATAATGACTTCGATGCACTCTGGTCCCTTAAGTTCCATACACTAAGTTTCAGAGTAGGGCATGTGCAATCTTTTTTAAACCACTGGGTTTCAACTTTCAACCACGGTTGTGAAAGATTTCAAGTCAGTGGCGAAAGAGAAGGGCGATAGCTGGATTTCTCGAATTGTGACAGGTTTGCAGGTTCCAATCATTGCTTGTGGGAAGCACATCCGGGAAGCCAAAGACCCAACATATGAATACATATTAAGCTAAGCTAATGGTGACCTTGATTCTCCACCTAGGGGTGAAGCCACGGATGCTGAACTGCGGTTCTTTCCGAGAGGAGGATTTTTGACCTATGGAGCTGCGAGAATGGCCGTTCAAAAGCAAAAACAATTACGTAGAGTTTGCGGAGTAGTTGACTGGAAGGAACGGGATCTGTCTTTTCTCCGAATGCTTGCGTGTTGTTTGGACCTTACAGCACAGGCTCCTTACACAAAATATTGTCATTGACCTCCTCAAAGACTTCCAGAAGACGAAAGACCACCTCGAGCATGTAAGCAGCGGCAGTGCTTCCAGGATTGCCCACCTGCTGCTGCTGCCTAGGGCATGACACACGTGTCATCGTGCTGAGGCCACAGTCAGTGCTCGCTGCGCCTCTACGAGACACACACTTAGAGAACCATTCGGATGTGCTGCGCTACTGTAACCAATGCAGGCCCTTGCGTAGAACTTATTTGGAGTCTTTCACAGTATGTGTGCATATGTTTAAAAAAGATACCCGTTTGCTGCGAAATGTTTCCTTCTGCTTGATTGCGCAGATGTTTGTGTGCAGTCGCATTCTAAGACTCTCTAACATTTATCTTCACCCTGGCGTGAAAATACATTGCTTAATTTCATCACCTCCCCAAAAAGCCAGCAAAGACTGCCTGAAGCCAAGCTGGACTGAGGATCCTGTCCTTCTGCACGGTTCCGGTGATTATGGCGGATGAGACTTCGATTTAACCAGGGTATCCATGACCGATGTTGGAGGGACGTTCGGCCTTGCGTGCCAAAAAGAGTGGCTCACAAGATTTGCAGTCGAAGACGGGTGCCCTCTATTCTACTAGTGGGGCCTGTTTCACCTAAGTTTGCTTGGGTCAACTGAGATTAAACTGATTAAACAACCCCACCCACCAATGGCTAACTATGCCCTGGCCCAGTCAGTTCCTCCGTGTGTAACGAGTTTCGAAGCGTGCCAAAATAGTTGAATAGTGTTGATCATTGATGATCACTTGAGACGATTCTGGCCGCAAAGCCAACCTTTTTGCAAACCTTGGTCCTGACCACCTCCACACATCTCAGGAAAAACTACTGCCATTTTCGGAGATCCTCAATTGGTCGCAGCGTGGACCTCAGTCTGAGTCTATGGTCAAGTCGCAGTTGGGTCAAACAACCAGTAACTAGATGTAACTAGTGACTAGTGACTATACATATAGTATTATACTATAGTTATATGCACAACTATACAGTTAGAGGAACTTGCTCGGGGAACTTACTGTGAACGATTCAGAATGATGGAAGGCGTGACCTGCACACCCTCAATGCATATCACCCAGTCAGATAGAGGACTGGTCATGCAAGCGGCCTGTAAGTGTGGTTTTCTGCAGCTCCACATGTTGATCGCGGCACGTGGAGCTTGCTCAAGCAATTTTGAAGCATGTGGCTAAACATGAGCTACCTGCCAAACTTTGAGGTTTGCCATCTTTGTGCCAGAAAGTGCATCTTGGATTCCTAAACTCACTGCTGGGCAGTCAATATACTTGCACCCCAACTTGCTTTCTACAAGCGGGTGACGAAGTCGCCCTGCAACCTTTAACTGGGCATGGGCATCAACCAACTGGCCCACCAGATCCAATGACTCGTAGATGGACTCGGAGGACCAAAGTGTTTGGTACTGACTCGCAGCTTTGTATCACTTCTCTAGGGCTAACTTTTGGCCTAGCTGGTGTACTGTGGTTGTCCTCCAGTAAGCTGGTCATTTGGAGGTTGCTTTGGCTGGATCCAATATGTAGTGTTAATCATGAAAAAACACACATAAAGACATACAGTACTAAGTAAACACTGGACATCACTGGACCCAAAAGCATCAAAAACACCTGGCAAACCTCTGGAGTCTTTTCGCAGGAAGTCGGACGGACAGACCGATGCCGAGGAGGCGCTCGAAGTGGTCCCACGGCTGCGGGCGATCAGCGCGGAGCAGCGCTGTGAAATGCGGCACAGGGCGCACCAGGCACAGTCAGAGGTTGTAGGTGGGTTTTCCATGGTTATTTGTTTAAGCATGTTTCAGCTATATCAACAAATCATTTGGGGGGGGTGTGGTTGGGAAGTGGGGAAGAGGTCAGGAGCACAGTTTGGGATGCCGCACGCCCTGCAAGTGCCTATAGGAAAGGATCGAGTTCCAATGTTTCGTTTTTGTTTCCCTGTGTGGTGGGTGGCAACCTCAACAGTGGGTGATCAAACAATGTCGCAGGTTTTCGCAGATCCCCCTGCCGTTCGGTGGAGCCATTGAATTTCCAGTTTTGCAGCGTGTTCTTTCATGAAGGTTTCAACAGTTCTGACCCGTGCTTACTGTTGCCAACGTTCTTGTGTGAGTTTTTTCCTATTTGCGAGGCGAGCTCTTCCCAGCTGGAACTGGTGGCACATATTCACAGTGCTGTTAAAGATGTGTGTCCATCATCATCACCATCATTATCAACATCATCATCATCATCATCATCATCATCATCATCATCATCATCATCACTGGACCATCACCATCATGGTCACAATCACAATCATGATTGTTCAGCTCTAGCAGCTCTAGTATGGAAAAGTGAGAAGGTCCATCTATGCAGCCGATGTTTGCGATCATTGGGATTTGTTGGAACCTGGGGCGCATTACGGTGGCGAGGCCTTCCACACGTACTTCGCCAACGTAGGGGATCCAATGATGAGCCGGCCTGAATCTGAAACGACTGGAGGGTTTACTGTAAATGGGCTGAATCTCCTAAACATTGTTCGTGCATCCCAAGTGCTTTTTGGGCGCATTTCTCATTGGGAGGATGGATTCCACGGTGTTTTTTTTTTGGGCCCATTGAAGGATGTCCGAGGGCAGGGCCCAGGCTAGCACCAGAAACCTCAGGCTGTAAAGATCATTCTCCCTGCAGGAGGGTTCGGCTGACGTGCCTTGTTTTGGGGAGGTGCATCCTTCCAACAGTTGCAGATGTGGCCTCATAACATGCACACCTCTCTAATTGGTTTAAATTCACCGGTTGACACTGGGCTTCAGCAATGTCCTGAGAAGCTCAGGTCTCCTCCAATGTGAGAGGCTTGATGGAAGTATTGAAGTTACACTGGCTGCAAGGTGCGGATGGAAGATGTTTCTATCGCTCAATCTTTTGGAGTGGCCACCTATCAAAGACCCACAATTCTGGTGGGCTCTAAGACTGCCTATGGGTGATACTCTTTGAGTCGTGACTCCATGGGCCCCTTGCAGTCGTTTAGCCAGCTAATGCCTGCAAGCATCTGGTCTCAGACAATGTCCATTTCAAGGAAGGTTTAGGCTAGCAGCCTCAAGTTGAACGGTGTGGTTATATACTGGTTATTGAAGTTGAATTGCAAAGGCATCGGCTTAGAACACTGTGCGCCAATGAGACGTCAAAGAGTCCGGGTAAAAAAAGAACACTAAACCCATACTAAACCCAATCGAAACCCAAAAAATCTCACTCGAACTCGAACCGCTGCCGACCCAGCTGATCAACCTTCTAGCGGCCCTAGCTAGTCACCTCATGCAAGGTTTCGCCCCTTGTAGCCAGGCTTTGGGCCCAACGAGGACTCGCGGAAGCTCACGGAGGAGTTCGAAACCCGGCTGTGCAAAAGCTGATGTGGAGGGACATGAGTAATGCACTTGCGACCTGGTCTTAAATCATTAACTGAACTCCTGGTCCAAAATGATAATGGTATGTTTGGTGAAGAACACGGGTGTGATTTTGGGAGTAAGACGGGAACAACAAGAAGCGCGCCCTGATGGCCCAAGGAACAATTGTCGTCGCTTTTATCCTGGTCGCCTTTGGCGAAAGAGGCAGGACACGGCGTCCCGGTTGGGCTCAGGCTGCACTGAGAATGGACTTCCTGGATTGGTGGCCGAAGACAAGCCAGCGCGGGATACTTCAGCAAAATCGATGACCAAAAAGATCAACACGGTGGTATCTTGGACTATCAAAATCATTTGCCCCCTCCCAACGACATCCATTTGAACCCCGGCCTGAACACTTTGCCTTCTATGCTGACAGAGATTCCTATTTGTTCGGTCAGCTCTCTCCCTTGAAACTGGTCGGTCAGTGCTATGTTTAAACGATGATGGCCTACTGCCGGACCATCAACCGAACGTGAAACACCGCAACTCACCGCAGTTCCTCCACCCCGGAACTGTCCAGTCAGATTGGTTCTTCTTGGATCCGGTGGAGCACTCTTCTCACATCTTCTCGCCAAAAGGACCCAAACACCCACCGACACCGAGTCACATCCAGCGAGCTGGGAGGACTTTCACCTCCGCCGCACCACTCTGGAGCGTTTGGGACATGGAGCCTTTTTGGACCAGGTGAGCTGGATCGATCGGTGGATGCATGGATGGGTTGGAAAAGGCTTTGGTAAGTGTGTGTATGTGTTGGTATTCCTTTGTTGGTGCCGTATCGCGTACACGTTATCTTGGGCATATTTTAATTTTGTCTGAATGGTTTGAAATGGTTTGAATGTGCCCCTGCTCGAGACTTTGGGGAGAGGCAACCGGAGGCAACAGATGCAAACAGCCAGGAGTGTGTGAGGCAGAGAGAGAGAGAGAGAGAAAGAAAGACGTGGAGCAGCGGCTATTTTAGCAAATGACGTTGCAGTTCCTCCGCCGGTTGATGCAGAGAGGACAACGATGGCCGCATCTCTTGGGGCGAGTCTTGGCTAGAGTCTACAGAGAACAGCTCTACAAACCAAAGTTAGGAGTCTGGAGTTCATCGCGCTTTACGCAAGGAGGTTTTACGCTGTGTGCAACATATACCCAGTATAGCTGGTGGAGTGGGAGGGTGCCAAGAGCCCGCAACAAATCCATCGGTTGCTTTATGGGTCCAGCATGTCCAGCTTTTTCAAACCAGGATGCACTTTGAACACCCGAGTGGTGTCTGAAAGTTGCATTCTGGCTAAAGTTAGCGGGATCCAAATGCTTCACTCATACGAAGTCTTGCAGCGGATCCATGATACTTTGCCTGGAGTCGATCAAACATCAACACTCTGGTGGGGCTTTATATAATTACTGGCGAATTGCTTTGCTGTGGCAAGTCCCTGACACATTTGAGGAAGTGCTCATCCACGACCGTGGCACACATGACGCAAGCTGCTGGGCACGTTTGGCTTCGGGCAGTTCCAAAGCCAGCCTAGGGAGCAAGTCTAGATTTAAGATTCTCAAAGGCTCAAAGGTCTTTGAAGACTGGTGTGCCACAAGATGAGGTCTTTTGAGGTATTGTACATCCATGCACATCAAGGCAACTTAGTCACATCAAGGCAACCTAGTAAGAGTTACTAATAGATAAGTGTAGATTCTCCTGCTGACTCGCTTCATAAGAGGATATCCGTGACCTTCTGGACAGAGCGCTCTTTGCAGGCCGAGAAGCTTTGACATCATGGTCCAAGGTTGTCCGAGGCCACTACACTTGTGCTCAAGTTATTGACTTCGGCACCGATGGGCATGAGAAGTGGATCCAAAGAAGTCCGGGAGTTAGTCAGCGCGACGTATTGTGCTGTCACTCGCCACCAGGGGCATAGAATAGGGTTACATGAGTTGCTTGGACTTACAGTAACTGAGGGGGTAGGAGCAAGGACGCGACTAGCTTAGGGGCTCCTGGCATTGCTACTAGGAACAAGGGCCTTACTACTAGGAACAAGAAGCTAGTAGAAACAAGAAGCTAAATAGAATCTAATTACAGTATATAAAATTAGTAGCAAAGAAGGCTACTAGGACCGGGGTTATTGGAAACAAGAAGCTATTAGAAACAAGTGCATCGCCACTAGTAACAAGTGCCTTACTCCTTGTAACAAGAAGCTATTAGTAACTATCCTTGGCTTTGACCGAAGACCGGCTCTCCAGACAGGTGCCACGAGCGATGAGGACGACACATGCGTCGAGTGCTGCCTTGCTGTTGAGCGGCGGTTGTTTCTGTCGTCAGTGTGTTTCCAGAAGTACCCAGCAGCTGTTCTGTACATTTCCCAGGCACCAAAGGTGAAACTAACATAAACTAACCTGCAGATATTGCTTTCATCCAAACTGATGTTTGGGATGACCAGCTGGGAGTGACCACTGGTTGATGAGATTTACATAGATTCCTATTCCCATGGTGAGATTTGAGTCGAGGCACGGACCTTTATCGTTCTGCATCACCGCAGTGGAGGTAGAACATGGAACATCCCCCACAAGACAAGAAGACAATTCGATAGAACCCATGCACTTTGGGGTTCCTTTGTTTTGATGCTCCAATGATGCGGGTGAAGTTTACTCCACAAAAAACTTCCTCCAGGTTGCTTGAGACACTCAAATCGCTTGCAGGACGACTTAGAGTCACTGGTGACTAAGGCAGGTCGGAGAAATGAGGAACCAGCCTTTGCAGCACCCACCGAAATCACCCAAGCAAAATACATGTGGGGCAGCACGTGAGTCAGCTGTGGCACCTGTATCTATAACATTATGACATGTTTTAACATGCTTTATTCCTTTGGACTGTTTGTTCTATGTGTGCTGTGTGCTGTTCACCGATCTTCGGAGACAGCAACTCCTCGATGCATGACATGTATGTGTGTTTCATTGTTCGGTTTAGGAATTAATGCCGTACCTTGTTCTATGTACTTGTCCAGGGGTATGGGAACGTAAACAAATGGACCAGGGCCGGGAATCGCGGCTCGATGGGCACAGCCAGGCCTTTCAGCGACTGGATGCCGACCATGATGGACAGCTCAGCCGCCGGGAGTTCCAGGTGCGATCCAGCGAGCAAAGGAGGGGACTGGATCAAAATGGATCAAAGACCTGGCATGTTTGGTGATTGGGCCAGTATTGGGCCTAGTGTTTGCACATGGCACACTCGTACAGACTCGGAAAGAGGGACTATTGCATTGCTGCGAGTCGACTTGTCGTGAAGATGCTGCCGAATATATGTTTTGAATACAATGACAGTCTATACCTATCTATACCTATAAACATATGTAATGTAATGTAATGTAATAATGTAATGTAAAACATAATGTCGTGATTAATGTCGTGTAATGTAATGAATAATGTAAGTAATAATGTAATGTAAATCATGTAATGTAATGCAATGCAATGCATGCATGCATGCATGCATGTATGTATGTATGTGTATATACCTACGGTAGTCACTTCTACATTGTGACATTGTGCAAGCTGCCCATCTCTGGAAATTCTGGATGGACTTTGTTGACGCACGAGTGATTCACCCTGTTTGAGTTGTTTCTTTTGTTGCTTCATTACTACTCGCCTCACATGTGCCTTTTTTTTTCCATTTGTTTTCTCACAACTACTGCAGCACAGCTTCTAGCAATTCACTTGCCCGCCGTACCTCCAGAAACCTCACTCCGCATGGGTGCAGGTGAACAAGCTTAACTTTGAGAAGTTTTGGTGCCCAGCATGTGCCCTCAAAGCTCGCATCAGCTGAGTGCAGTAGATGGATGTAGACATGCAGATGGAATGTTTCCCCCCCAAAAAAGAAGATGTACTTAATCCGGACGCATATCGACGTGTACACTTCACTTGGTCGATCGTTAATCCACTTGAAGGCTTCATGGCCCGCATCGCTCGCCCAAGGCTCGACTTGAACAACGACAGCCACATTGTCCGGACATCCCAATGCCTTAGGGCATTTGACCCATCTCAGTATTATCTCACCGCAAAACGACAACAAATCAGCGTTTGGGGGCTTTCAGGATTTTTATGGATCTGTATAGAAATGCATTGGCTGTTGGAGTCGGAGTATTATGTATTATTCGGTCACTTCATGTTTTCTAGTTTTAATTTTTTTGCGGTGTTTGATGATGGGATGTAGCTAGGAGACGCGCCAAATCAATTTCAGCAATCCTAAGGCCCTGCGTGAACTGCTTTGGGATCCTTTGCTGTCATCCGAGATTCGTATCAAAACTCTACAGCAAGGCGGGGGTCATGTTGGACCTTTGCGGCGTGAATAAATCAGAGTGCGCCGCTTCTCGTAGTAGCTTCCCCCCTCCTCCCCCCCTCTCTCCCTCCCTCTCTCGCTCTGCGTTTTAGAGTTGATGCTCTTGAACCTTCTGGAAACCCTATCCTGCTTCAGATGGCATGCCGCTGTACCACTACCATACCACTGTGTCATGGGGAGCTTCCACACGGGAAACTCAATTTGGTTGCAACGGTCCCCAATCAAGGCCTGCATGGCCTGTAGGCCCTTCCGATGCTTGTTGAGCTGCATCAAACCAGGCTTGTTCCTGCTGGCTTGAGGCACACGCATAAGCATAAGCATCCTCTTCATATGGGGGGATATTAATCAAGAGCCTACATTAAGTATGCATAAGTACTGCATAAGTCATACGCCTGCAAGCATTCCCTGGTTCCAATCTCTGGAGCTTTCTGGAAGCATCCGAATGGGATGGGGAGTGCAACATGTGCAGTGCAGGGCAGGCTGAAAGCGCTCTCACAGTACAAGGCATAGTAGCCGACCAACAGAGGAGTTTGGGAGGTGGTTTTCCTGTACCTGTGGCCTGTGGCTTAGTGAATTGAGGGGGGCTGTGCATGTTGCTTGCTTGTGCTTTACCACCAGGCTTCAGAGTCGCGGACGAGAACAAGGATGGGCATTTAAGTGCCTAAGCTCAAAGTGAAAAGATACATTTTAGGACCCGTTGTCAATGTTGCGTGGCGCGCCCTGCAGCACCTTACAATTATCAGACAGCAGAAGTGAAGCCATTTCTTGTTTTGTTTGGCCCAGCGGTCTTGGAGTGAGTGCTCGAAATGTCCTGTACCGTACTTGGATGTATTCAGTATTCACGAGTGCTTGCATTTTTGGGGAGAGATTTGCCACTGGCCGCCCACCACGGGCAGTCAGCAAGTCAGGTTCATCAACATGTTTGGGCTATCTATCAAAACAGCCGGAACTGTTCTTCGAGAAGATGTCTTCTGTACAACTTGTTATGCAACATGCAGGTGCGCTTTGCTCAAGATTCCATGTGTTCTCCTTAACATCATGCTTGGACGCATTCTTGATCTTCAACGTTGAAATTCTCCAGAAGAGTGGCATGGACATGGCTCGATAGCGCTGGTTTGCACAGGAAAGAGCAATAGTCACCTAGGGTCCCAGCATCCATGTCAATGTTCCGGTAAAGGCCGGCCTTCAATTATGTAGCCACGTCCGACTGTTGGAAAGTCCGGTCCAAGGTGCTTCTGAGTTGGAAAGGCCTGGGAGCTTCGCGGGAGCTTTCTGCCGCGATGGTTGGGGAAGGTCTTGCTATGTCGAACAACTTATTAGGCTCAGATTGCAGAAGGGGAGTTTTCAATGTCCACGTTTACTTTCGCCCGACCTCAAGGTTAGGGTCTTGTCAAAACACAGGTCTAGTTGGAGGGCCGGTATGGTCTAGTGGCTGTGTTGTATCCTTCATGGGTCGGACCCGGGTTCAATCCCTGGGTGCGACACTCGGCGGACAGGTGGGTCACTACCCCACCTTGCAGTTATATAATGTTATATAAGGGGATGAGCTAGCGTGTGGACCTTTAAAGCAGTAAAGCACCACCACCACAACAACAACAACACCAACACAGGCGTATATAGCTTCCAACCAGCTGACTTGCATGGAAGAATCAACAAGAGTTTGAAGAATCAGAGATGGCAATGGCTGATTTGACTTGTGACATCGTGGATTGGCGGTTGCCCCTTGCCTAAATCACCAGGCCTTTGGCACAGCATTTGCTCCACCTGCTGGAAGACGCGGAGCGTTTCACGGCACCAGATGCCCTTCACCACTGTGGACGGCTGTGGGCACCAGCGGATGAGAGTGACGCGGTGCGTGCGTTGGAAGAGTGCGGCTGGGAAGCCCGGAGGTAGATGGGCTGTGGAGAGGCATCACCTAAATTCAACTCCGAGATGTGATGTCTACTAGCTTCTTTTTACTACTAGTAAGGCACTTGTTACTAGTAGCGATGCACTTGTTACTAGTAGCTTATATATATATATAGTTCGACAACTGGAAGGCAGATCTAGCATGATGTGAGCATCCAGCATGATGTGAGCATCCTTGCCGAGATAAATGATAAACATCAGTCAGATAGCCTAACTGAAGGATAAGCACAATGTTGCTCAGCGTTGTTGACGGAGGATGAGGGCTGCCTGCCATCCCTTCCTTGTTTATTTTGTATTTACAACCCCATTAAAATGTTGGACGGTTTCACTCACTCTGTCTAGGTAGAGCACGCGGGTTGTTCATGGTGGTTCTGTGGGATTTATCTTGGGGGCAGGGGTTGCACCACACTTGTGATGTTGAAAAGCACCAATCCAGTTGTCAGGCTATCTTCACCTCCTCCCTGGCCTTTTCACTGGTCGACAAGCAGCCCGGTTGCACCATCTCCAATGTTCGGATGGACATGAGCACGGCAGACTTCCCCAGTGGATCCATTGAACGGTCGTGGCATCTTTCGTACGTGTCTGGCCATCACGAAAAAACACAGAAGAACCAAGCCCAGCCTAGAGTCTTAGATGGTTATCACACATAATCACGATGTTCCATTTTAAATGACAAGACATGATAAAGGGTCGGTCACGCTACGACATTTGCAGGTAGATTCGGTGTGTGTGGATGGTGGCATGGGGGGTCCAAGAACCCTACCTTCTAGATTTTATATAGATGTGGATCTTGGGGCACTCCTACACGTACCGAGTTTCGCTGGTTGGTGAGAGGAAAATCGTTCTCACCGCATGCGTTTGGAAGGGGGATGAAGGGAGTTGTGGTGGACATTAACTTAAGATTTGACAGCGTGCCCAAGTATCAGGGAGTGTGCCCAAGTATGGTTTTTTATATGTCTTTATATATATATTTCAGTAGTAAGTTTGTGTTTTGAGAATGGGCAACTCACTCCACGCAGGTCTCCGACATGTTTGCCGTGGCCAAAAAGTTCAACTGTAGCGAGGCCTGGGACTTCCTCCAGTGTCTTCTCTGGCTCACGGAGGGGCAAGTCAACAACCACCATTGATCTTTGTTGATTTGGTCCCAGCATGTCCCAGCACTTGTCTCTGACTTCCTCCCATTTCGAAGTTTGCCCCTGTGTTTGTCCTCATTCATAACCCCCCCTCAGAGCAATTTGGAGCAGCCAATGCACGAGCGATCGTTTGGTCAGTAGACGCACGGTCAGTCATTTGTTGTACATGGTTTCGGGTACAGTAACTCCAACAGACCCACCGCTGGAGCAAAATCAACGATTGAGTAATTATATAGAATTTGTGCCTTCGACTTAAACGCCGCACCAGCTACGGTTGTGCTTGACACGTGGGTTTGGTTTTCTTTCTCCACAATCTTGGTCAGGCGCCGGCCGATGCATTTGAGCAACTTGGCTTCAGAAACACAGACGAAGTTTTCTGGCCGTGTTGGATTGTCCAGTCACCAGAAGAAACGTTTCCAACAATTTGGATCTGTGAGGAACTTGCTGTGCCGCAAGCGCATGGTGGATCCAATGGCGACAAAATGCAAAGGCATATTGAACGGATACCTTCACTCATTTGGAAGATAGTCATGTGGGTGTCAGTTGTTTAGAATTTATATGAATTTATCGTTTCTTCCTTTCCAGTTGGAACACACCGATTTCACACCTTCAGGTCTCAGCCTTTGCCGGGCATGTTGCAGCGCTTGCTGCAGGCGAGCGAGGGAACCGGGTAACCGAGAGGTGTGGGTGGAAGAGCCGCTTGAGTGTGTTGATCTTCAGCGTTGATAGCGTTGCGAGTCTTCCACCCTACCGGCGCACAAGAGATGTTCAATGGATGCTTTGGTCAGCCCAATTGTCCACAGCTTAGTTTGCAGACCCTCACAAAGTGGACGCCACAAAGCGTCCGCATGCGAGCAGCAGTAGGGAGTGGGTGGGAGCCGTTTCCAACAAGAGGCGACTCAAGAGGCGTCGTGTTCAACTGCACTTGATCCACAGGATCAGGTCGTCGTGAGATTCCTATGTCCACGACCATGCGAGGTGAAGCCATTTAGCCTCCATGGCCCAGTGGAGCACCAACTCATCAAGGTTCCTTTGATATACAGTCAGGGTCATTGCTAGCGACTATAATATAATGCTGGTGGTATTTTGGAGACGTGGTGTTGCGATATGTTGGGTATATCATGGTATATCGGAGACATCCAGGCAGTCCCCTCAAGATCTATGGTGCAAGTCCTCGTTCGACATTAGACCTTTGCTTTGGCTCACGCTTGGTCAGGCGGCAATGAGACCAGATGAGTGCTTCTCGGCAAATCGGGCTGGCTGTCAGAGGAAGTTGCCAAGCCTCCACGCCCGCTACGCAAAAAAACGGTGATTTCTCTCCGGAAGTTTCTGGGAACATCCTAATATACGAAGGATTCAATCGAGAAGCACCAGCATCATAGGTATGCAGGAGGGGGGCCTTGTTGACACGCACAGAATTAGAACGCCTTCGAACGCCCCAAGTGTCCAGTGCTTTCAACGATTTGGCCTACTAGCTATGGGGTTCTCTTCTGATTCTGTAGGTCCCTGATATGACACGTCCCGCGGCTGTCGGAGTTTTAGCTCAGCCCGGCCTGGCCCCTCGCCCCGGTTGTCCTCGCACCATGTGGCGCTTGGCACTTCTGCTGCTTTCGCCGCCGCTTCACAGGTGAGAGCGCTGGGATTGGACCCACTGGGAACCTCAAATCTGCGGATTTTCTGTCATGTTGGTGGCAGAGTTCTCATTGTGATACGAAGAGCATGAGTGAGTGAGAGACATTGATCTTGAATAGGTATCATGTGACTTGCAGACTTCTTGAAGTAACGTAAAGCATAGATCCCTTGAACCCCTCAGATCTCCTCAGACACCTGACAGGCCGGTTCAGACGGAATCTCCGGGCGCCCCAAGCCCATGACCGTCGACCCGCTCGAGGTCGGAAGAATGCAGTTCCTTCTTACAGACGGCCGAGTCCAAGACCATCGAGCCAGGTGAGGACACTCAGGGCCCTACAAGGATCCCCTGTGTGATCCACCAGGTGTGGCGCAAGGATCTCCCGGAGGCTGGATGGGGTGGGGCGCGGGAGACTGTTGCAAGAGGATCTCATCTTGGAAGGTGACACCGGGAGGGACAGGGCTGGGCTCACCAAGTCATCCAAAGCCTCAAGTCTGATAAAGGACCGCTACAAGAACTGAGATATGATATATTGCTTCAGATCTTTACATGGACCTAGTGGACTAAGATTGCAGATAATTGAATGGGACATTCTACAGGCTTTCTTTCTACCTCTCATTTCTGAATGATCCTATTCCATCCACTGCTTCTTGGGATCCATACCCAAATGTGGGCGGGTCTTCAACTAGGCAACCTCTCCAATCCATAGTGACATAGAGTTCTTCTCCCTGTGACCAGCTGGTAATTAGGTCAGGCCACGTCAGGATTACTGTATTTGTTGTGCATTGTTGTGCATTTGCATCAGATGCCCCCCCGGCACCAAGGATGCTCAACAAAAGGCCCTAGAGAGCTGGACTTCAAAGAATCCCTTGTGTCGGCACAAGATTTGGAAGGAGCAGGAGAAGCTGCGGCAGATGGTGGCGGAAGTTGCAAGGGATGTATGGCTCATTTCGGGGAAGACTAGAGTGACTAGAGGTTCAAGATGGGTGGGAGATGTTTTATTTACCAACCTAAGGCTTCTCTAGCAATGCACTTCCCAACTCTCATTGCTGCCGATGGCTCGCCCCTCTACTTAGCTCCGGGATTTTGAAGACTTTGCTGGCTCATACTTCAAAGACTCCAGAAATTGCGGACCGCCCCATCAAAAGGGCCCAGACATCACCTATGGCTACAGGAGATGGCGCATTTTGTGCGAGAGAAGTCGCCCGATGTGGTTTGGCCCATGTGGATTGGGCTCTCAGCATCAGAACGTGAAGATGTCTTCCACTACCTTGTGGGATTCGAAGAGGGGGGGTATATGGCCGACAGCGGCGTCACGTGTGAGAAGCCCATTGATCAGTTTCCTGCATCTGGGCAGAGAAAACGATGGTCTCAGCCTGTTCTGGGAGGTTAAAGGTTCCTCACATAGTCACAGAAAGGCAAACACTTGGCAAGATTTTGATTTGTTCCCTAACTCTTTACAGTTTTAGTTGAATTTTAGGCTACAGTAGCCTGATATTGGGCCTTAGAGACCCCCTACGGCCATTCGTGCAGCCAGAAAACGGCTGGAGGGGTTGTCCGCACATGACCGAGACCACGCCACCCCGCGTCCGAGGTGCCCAAGAACGCGACGATGATCGTTGGCTATGAGTTCGGCCACCGCTTCACCGAGGTGCAACGCAAGAAGGCCAACTTCGCTCGCACGGAGCAGTTCGCCAAGCAGCTGGCCCAGTTTGGGTGAGAGGGTTCTGGAGGGTGAAGTGCTGTGAGGGACAAGACAGCGAAATGAGGTGCATACTGTCATACTGTGAATCTATGAGCATGCTTAGATACAAGAGTGCAAGAAGCTTGTGCATTCACACGCCATGTCAGATAGCTCGAGAGCGACCAACCAATTTGACCACTGGCCACCCACATAGCAGAATCAGCCATTCCAAGAAGTTCATTCTGCAATGACATGTAATGAGTAATGCTTCTTTTCTTGGTTGGTGCTATGGCCAAGTTTGACCCAAACCAGCGGTTCCCGTTGGTTTTGAGAACTGTTTCTTTGGTAAAACAAATCCTGGACTGCTCATTGAGGTACTTCTTCGCATCGGCACCCGGCAATCCTATCCTGAAGCGTTGCTTGCAGCTGGTCAGGCAGAGGTACACATGGAAAGTTCAGGCTCCCCAGGATTTGACAGGCCGGGCTGCTGTTTTTTGAACCTCATGAGCTTTCAGACGTCTGACGTGACTATGATTGGACATGATAGGACCATGGTGCAGCTAGGGTGGGAGCTTCTCCCACCATTAGGGAGTGCAAGTAGCTTGATATTTCTAAACATGCCACAGGTTTTGCACTTTGGACCTCCAGTTGGGCTCTAGGCGCCGCTACCTTCAGTGATGCAGTCCACGAGTTTCTGGACAAGAACACCCCAGAGGCATTGGAACATGAGATTTCTATCCGTCAAAACCGGCCCAGCTTGCATTTTCTGAGCCACTTGGACAGCGAAGCAACCCCACAGCGCGTGGGCGTCCGACTTGTTGAAGTAGGATGGACTTGTGGAAGCTACTAGGGGTTCTTGGCCTTACCACTAGGGCTGGGATGGCATCCGATGAGAAAAGGAGACTAATCCTTGGTGAAACGGTGAACACGGGTGTTTGGGAAAGGCCGGTCCAGGCCAGGCGTCTAAACAATTCTCTATGGTTCCGATTGTCGACACCTGGGACCCGCCCAACTGTGAGTCCAGTCCATTGCAGTCTTCTCATTGCGTCCATTGGTCAATTCTGAATGTGATAAAATAATTAAACTAAACAAGTCATTATACAAAACATGTCAAAGCACACAAAACCACCGATGTCGCTGCTTTGCCATGCATCCAGTCCAACAAAGCTTCGGGATTGCCAAGGCTACCCCAGTGAGAGGAGACTTGGCGCTGATTTGGTGAGCTGGACTTGTTGGATGATTTAGTTATGATGGTCGTGGATGATGCTCCTGAAACGTCCTGGCGTGACCCATTCCCCGCACTTCAATGTTTGGGGGTCGACCTTGGAGCGAGAGACGTAAGTCAGGGTGGACAGATTGAGCTGTTGGGACCTTTTTCACAAGGGAAATTGTCTTTGGACGCCTACTCAATTTAGCTGTTTCCTGCGGTTATTGCCAGTAGTAAAGCCAGTCAAAGACCTTTGTTGAACACACAAATTTGTGGTTTGCAGACAGTGACTGCAAGTTTGCATCAGGAATAGCACACTGCAAGGTATGTAAACGATCCTTTTGTGGGGGGCTGCATGTGTACCGTTGTACCGTGTGTATATATATATATATAAGATATGTATATAGGGAGGCTTAAAGGCAGAGAGAGAGAGGGAGAGAGAAAGAGATGAATCCATGAGGTTGTTAAGATCTAAGGTGAAAAGAAAAACACCCGTTCAGTTATCCCGTGTTGGGGCTAGGCGCCCAGCAACAAACTGCGTCGTTTGAGGTTGTACGGCCAGGACGACTGGAAGCTTTGGATCTTCGCTGCTGGACGCGTGAACGAAGCACCGCAGGTGGCCAAGGACGACCCTCCAGAGGCGCCCACACCTCTGTTGATCGCGCGGAATGCGGCACCGGCTCCGGCAGAGCCGGCAGAGCCGGAGGCGCCATCGAAGTGAGGGGTGAGTGGCGGTGTATACATGTTCTGGGAATCAAGCTTGGTTTACATGTGCCACAAATGTGGCGCCAATTCTGAGCTTCTAAGAGCTTCGTGAGTGTGGGAAGAAATTCCATGAACAGAGGGCATCGAATTAGTGAAATCATTGTGACGCTAGTCCTCTCAGACGATTCAAGAAAGAGTAGGCTAAGCGCAGCCTAGTCCACAATGTAAAACCCTCACAGGCAACTGATTCACTATCCATTTGAGAAACCCCACGTGAATGAGAGCCAACTTGAGACAAACTCTCCTGGATTTGCAGGAGCTCGGAATTGGAACAGGGCGGGAAACATGTCTAATTCGTCGGAGATCCCAGAGCTTGCTCGTCCACAAGGCACCTTCAGGTCGCACCACCAGGTGGTAGTGCACCCAGTACGTGTATTGCCTTAGTCACCCACATGTATTTCAATGAGACGTAGGTTATAACTTATAACGCGAACATGCCGATATAGCATGCAGACATTGCGAATGAATGCAGGATTTCATTGGCGAGTAATTATCCTTGATTGATTGTGCATATGTTTGGGTGCACTAGTGGAGTAGGACAGAAATGGACAGGAATGCACAAGTACGGTTACGCACATGCATTGGCATGCAGGAACACGCAGAAACCACGCAAAGGCATATGCCTTTGCGAGCAGATTTCAGCGTTCAACATCGTTTTTCACTATTGAACGGTATTTCCATGCCAATGCACAAATCGGAGCATGCAGAATCATGGGAAGGATTGTGACATATTGCAACACTTGCTCACAGTTCTCTCCAGCATGCCGGGTTTGGAGGACGGTGGAACATTTCATCCATGTTGGCCCAATGTTGGCAAAGCTTTTGCAGCTGCAGTGCGGGTTGATACCCGATCGCCAGCTCTCACCCTCACGATGACCCTGCCAGCATCGGCTTCATGGGCAGATCCCCATGTAGAATGGGGCGACCAGGGCCAAATCCGGACCCTGGCTTTATCGAGAGCATTAGACAATTCTGGTGATAAACCCGCAAGAGGGATGTAAATCAGCATCATCGTCCCAAAAAACATGCTTGTGAATCCTGTGTGCATCGTCAAGATTCTAAACGTAGAGAACGGTGGGTCATCCCAAATGTCCTTAGCATCCAACAAACATTTTGGCCTGACACGATTGATCCCATAAGTGGATCGTAGGCGAAAAGAGAAAAGGCGCAGGCTACACGGAGACCACACTGTGTTACTGTGGGTGGTGCCCAGTTGTCCTAGATGACACCGTTGAACGCGGCATAGCGACCCTTAAAATTGCAGCTCCCCAAAGGAGGTAACCAATGTTATGTTCCATGTTTGTCCATCCGTTTGGACTTCCATATGTATAGACTGCATTGAGATGTATCAACCTGATTTCAAGATGCACCACCTTGCGCCAGAACATTTGTTTTTCTCACAGGATGATTTGCTCCCTCATACAAATCCCATGCTGGTTGGACATGGACGTTTCAGGTGCGCGCTTGAATCGGGAGCCTCCTTTGGACCTTCGTTGGTCTTACATGCAGGTTGAGTTTATTGCCATAGCGGAGCCCGTCTGATGTACCAAAATGTGCGTATGAAATTGGGCACATGATTTGAACAGACGAAGAGCTTACCAAGCTCCCTTAAAGAAGACCCTTGTTCTGTGCACCTGCACACTTTTATGGGCTTTATGTAGGGCACTCCCCAAGTTCAGCACGCCAATGAACCCCAGTGGAGTAGTGAATGCACATGTCCCTTGCCCACAGTGTCCAGGTTGTGACCAGAGTCCACCACGAGCTCAGTGCTTGCCAGAGCCCGAGGCTCTCCCAAGGGACCAGCGTCGTTTGCATTCGGGGCGGTTGAGTCCATCGTATTCTTGAGAATTCCTCAGCAGTTGGGTTGGGTTAGGGCTGTAGGGGGTGAAGACGGTCTGAGTGCCATCACATTCAGCCGTTGACAGGGCTGGAATAGACCGGGGTGTTGGTCAATCGGAGTGTGGGGGCGAACTTGGTGGTGCGAGATTTGTATTAACACTATAGGAACATGTAGTATGTCGTTCACAATAGTTCACGCACTTGGAACTCATGGTGTGTAGCAGGTGCAAGTCTTGACCCACCGCCACGCCATGAGCGTGGACTCTGACATTAACCATGTATTGCAAAGTGTTGAGGAGTACCGATGGCATGGGACTACATCGGTCCTCAAGCTACCTCAAGCTCTACTGTCTATTATGCTTAATTAAGTGCGGCTTTGAGAAATACCATATAGGTGGTTCACATGCCAATTCATGCCACTAAGTCACTTGAGGCCAGAGGGGGTGAACGAAAGCTAGCCGGGCTTCCGGTGGTCTGCTGCTGGTGCTGCTGCTGCTGGTGCTGCTGCTGCCGCTGCTGCGCTGGGCGCTGCTGCGCTGGGTGCTCTGCAGGCGCCGGGTCGTCTGCTGCTGCTGCTGCTGCTGGCGCTGGGTGGTCTGCTGCGGCTGCTGCTGCCGCGGCGTTGGGTATGCTGCTGCTGCTGCTGCCGCCGCTGGGTGGTCTGCTGCTGCTGCTGGTGCTGCTGCTGCTGCTGCCGCTGCTGCGCTGGGCGCTGCAGATGCTTGGTGTGCTGCAGCTGCTTGGTGGTCCCGCTCACCGCGCGCAGGGGGGAGTCGAACCGCGGGGGGGGGGTGAAAGAGTGACTAGGGCGTACACGGTAGAGGTGCAGACCGCTAGTGTCTTTTATGCGCAGAGTCTTATCCTCTTGCTTTTTGAGCCTTGAAGCAGTCAAGCATGGACACACTATATCAGCTGTTGGAGTGGAACCCTGTACAGGTAGGCTCTACTTTTCAGCAGGCACAAGATTCATGTCCACTTCTAGCTGATTGCGTATGTCGCATACTCTTTTTCTACTGCAAGGCTAAATCAGTCCAGCTAGCTCTGACAACTTAAAAGAAAACTACGGTGCCATGTACTTACCTAATCCAGTGTGTTTCACACTTCAGAGAAAGTAATCTCATAGCTACTAAATACAGTGAGGGAGCAATAGCTGACTCACCTCAAGTACAAAATCAAATCGATAATGTACCTCGGCTGGAGACTGTACTTTTCGCAGGCGGAGATACCATGTACCGGCGCTCACTAGCTCTTTAGGGCCTGAGCTAAATCAAACTAAAAAGGGAAGCGGCTTTTTCTCTACAGAGACCTATAAAAGAATCAAACGACACTCGCGTAACAAAGAACTAAAAATTCAAGACCGCACAATGCAATGAATTAAGATGCCTTGCAAAATGCAAGGAGCGTACGGTCCGAGGAATAATCTTCTCGTGACGTGGTCTCGACCGCTTTCATTCACAGACAAAATAAACTGCATCAAAAGGACTCTTTCTTTCATATTCACATCAAAAACACAAGAAGGAGATACCGGCAAATGTATGTACAAAAAAAAATCTTGCACTACAATTGCAAATCATGAAATGACTTAATCATCAACCATGACTGGTTGTCCATTAGAGGTCACTTCATAAGAGCGGTGGTGATGGATATCATCAGTTATGTAAAACTGTCCATATCTGCCTGCATGCTAAAGCGTATAAACCTGGAATGCAGGAGTATCTTCTTTGATAAAAAGTTTCTCCTCATTGCAAACCAGAATTTATTAAAACTTCAGCCTGGCAACTTAAAGTCAAGCCTGGAAGCAAAGTATCAACTGTAACCAGAAGTATCTTCACTTCCTAGCCATCATTTAAATTTCAGCCTTCGCTCAGGAATTATGCCGCTGCAGACGATGAAGCTGCTTGACCAGAAGTTGGCGGCCTTCCTTTCCTTTTATTCTGCTTTTGTCTCTCCTTCCTCCGCAAGTTAGCCTCATGAAGCGTTGCTCCCATGCGATACTGTCTTCTGTCTCCAGATGAAAAGGAAGCTGGTCTGAGTGAAATAAACATTGGACCATGACTGTCCTCGTCAGTGGGCCTTGAGCACATAACCTCTGTGTCAATCATAGCAAAGTTCTCTGAAAAATTACAGATGAACTCCTTCGTGCTCACTGTGGAATTTTCATATTCCTCTTCACTCATTGAATGACCCCATTCAACAACGGTAGACAAACATGTATCGCCAAGCTGTGATCCTTGGTATTCTTCTTTTTCAACAGTAGAATATTCTTCCCAGAGTTTGTCAAAGTAATCTTCACACTTCTTGAGGACCTGTGAAGTTGAACTGTAAAAAGTTCTGGGAATAGGTGCTTTGATACCAGGATCTGCTTTTACACGAGCTTCTGAAAACCTGCGGATCCAGTGCTGCATGGTGCTGTAATAGTAGTTAGCCATTGGCTGCCTTTTGTACCCAGACATTCTGTAGGCCAAACTATTTGCATCACCAGAAATGATGTCCACCTCATAGACAAAACACTCGTAAAGCATCAATGCTGTCTGTTCTCCTGTCAGTAGGTGGGCATCCACAGCACGGTGTGTATCAACATGATAATTACAGACTCTGATGGTATGCATGTTCGCTCGAGTAAGTGGAACACGCTTGTCCTCAGGACCATAGTCATCAAATTCAAAGTCTGCATCCTTGAAATCTTGACGAGGCCTTGTTTCTCCAAAACAAATCTCGTAGATAGCCCAAGTTACATCACGCTGTTCACAGTGACCAAGGTCTTGATCATGTCCAGCAATGATCTTGACATATCCACCTGGTGCCAATCTAGCCATCACTGCAAGATTCTCCCAATCATTGAAACAAACTGTCCAATTCTTTTGCTCAATAAATTCCTTGGCAGGAACAAGAAGATGAGCTTCCTGGAGAATCACGACATGTGCACGTAAAAAGAAGAGCATGTTGAAGAAAAGGTTGTTCTCAAATTGCTCATTCTGAAGTGACATGGCGCTCTGTTTGCGTGGCCTCATTGCACTATCAAGTCCTTGGAGAAACCTTGGTGTGGTGTACTTCTGACCACGAACCATGTTGCCATAGTTCCAGGATAAAAATGTCAAGGACTCTGAGCTGGCCAATAAATTAGTTCCATATGGTTCTTCTATTCTTCCCTTGAGGAACCTTCTGCACAGCTCTTCATAGAAGGTGACAAAGTCCCAACTGGGTCCCTTGGGACCATATGATTCCAGTTCCTTCTTGAGTTCCTTTTTCGTATCCTCCAATTCTTCTCGAGCATGACCTGCCCTTTCAAGGGCCTTTGGATCGACCTGATACCTGCCATCCAAATAAATGATGCGGTCATCATTGATGAAGAATCTCTTCAAATCATGCTCTGGTTCATGTTCATAACAATCAGGTGGAGGTACTGGACAGATATTGCGAATGGATCGAACAAAATCATTCTCGTTGATCCTTGACTGATAATGAGGATGGGAAATCTCACCTTTTCTGAAACAAACATGATTCAGCAATCTTGCATGAGTTTCCCTGAAGCATAGTTGATAAAAGCCAATACCTGGATCTCCTGTAAGCTCTCCAAGCAACTTTAAAGGTGAAGTATGCAATTCATAGGTATCGTCAGCTTTTGTTGTATCCTTTTCAACAACTACTTCAGATGGAAAAGATTCTTGGATTTCAGCCTCCAATTTCTTCTCTCCATCATCCTCTCTGACCTCTTTTATTTTCTCCACCGCCTCTTTCTTCTCTTCCATGGTTGCATCATCCTGAACTTCTTCATGAAAATGAGGATCAGGAATCTTATTCAGGCGGCTTCTCTTCGATTTCCGCTGACCTGAAGTATCATCAAGGTTAGCATCCATCTCACCTGATGGTAAGTGCGATGCAGTTGAGTCTTCACCTATCTCTCTTGACAGAAAGTGTGGTGTTGACTCTTCCTTGGCTTCCTCCTGGTCGTCTTCCATCTTTGGTTCCTCTGAAGGAAAGACACCTGCATTCTCATCAAATATTTCTTCTTCCTTTTCAGGTTCAACTGCAGGATCTTCTTCAGGAACTTCCTCTTCCATATTCTCATCTTCTAGAAGTGTCATACTTCCAGTATAGATTCCACCAGCGATAGTGGAGACTCTTGTATAAGGAGGAACTTCTTCACCTACTTCAAAAGCTTGTTCTGCAACATCCTTGGTGAGCAAGTCCTCTACAAGATTTTCTCCCTCGGTTCTTGGAAGAGGTCCTGAGGTCTCATAAAAATCTGTCCTCTCTGAACTGAAAGCTTCTGTCGCCTTCTCATTGTCCTTTTGATCCCTGAACAGGTGAGTAATCTTCACAGCTTCTCCCTGTAGCACCTGATCACCTCCTCTGTACTTGTCGACAATGGAGCGCCATACTGGAACATCATCATCATCAAAATCAAGCTCCATATCATCTGCCAACAGGTATGAGATGTTTTGAGCTGCCTGTTCTTCTTCTTCATCACGTTCCTTGGCAAGCTCCTCATCCTTCTGGATCTTGAAGATACCCTTCAGGATGTCTTATAGTACCTTTAAGTTCAGCTTCGATGATGGCTCATACGTCCCTGAACTTACAGGCTCAACTACAACACGAGAGCAAGAAATCGCCTCCAAAAACTTGGAATTGTATTGGCGTTCAAACTCTTCCTTCTTGATCATCTCATACAAGGGATCAGAAACTGCAACACGCGCCTGAACATACTCACGAAGTTGATAGCATGCATGTTGCACAAATCTACTGTTGGAGTTGTGAAGAAAACTCTCTAAATGATTCCTGTCACGGTCAATCAAATACCACACAATCCTTGCAGAAAAACGGAAGTTCTTGAAGTTCATAGCAAAATGTGTATGATACTTCTCTGGATTCCTTTCTGCTTGTAACGCGGCCTCTGAAGTCTTGTAGGCTGGGAGATTTGTGTCTGGATCCAAGATCATAAACTCT